TTTTTTTTTTTTTCCTCTCAGCTCATGGAATTTCACTTCTAAATAGCTGTTAATAGCTCTGAGAAGCACCTGTTGACCAAGAGAAAAAAAACCCTCAGTGCAAATCAACTACAATTTGCTTGTAATTTCTGTGCCTTGCCTTCCCACAGCTGAACAATATGCTGCATCTTCCACACAGTTCAATTCTTCCCTAATCAAACCTCCAGTTCCTTGCGGTAGACTGTGGAATCACTGCTGCCCTAGTGCCCCAGGAACCTTATTGGATAAACTGCCACAAAAAACTCTTCCCTGGGTCATGGTTGCCTCTAGCCTGCAGACAACCTGGAAGTCTAGACCAGTTCAGGTGAAATTCCTCCCCTCTTACTGGAAACTCGGTTCTCCAGAGCCCGTGCAGCAACGTGACCGTACGGTGAATATTTTGTGATGGGGAAATCCACAGGAGTTGCCTTCCAGTTACTGCACAACGCCAGTGAGAATGTAAAACAAATTAGTGCATAATTCACAGCAGGGTTAAAGTTAAAACCTTGCAAGGACAATAGCCAGCAAAACCTTCTATTGATAAGTTGTGGGTTTTTTCCCCCTTTTACATCTTACCAGATATTGTGTTTTCCACAGCCCAGGGGAAAAGGAAGCATGAGTGTCTGCTGCAGAATTCCAGGAAGTCTGAAGCTGTGGAAGAAAGTGTGAGACTGAACGGAGTGTGGGATGCTGGGGATGCCTAACTGTGAAAAACTGACAGGAGACATCATCTGTGTGTACCAAGCACAGGGCTCCCAGCAGCCTAGTAAAGAAGTAAAAAGGATGAGAGCGCAGATAGCCGGTCATAAAAGGAATGCAATCATAATATATCGTATCAGAAATAATCATAGCTCTTCCTTTTTTTCTTAAAAATCCATATACAGATTAACTGAACTCGTTAATAGCACAATCCACCAATGCTGAGTCTGTGGTACCACCCAAAAGCACCAGTTAAAGTTATTTGCCTACTTGATCTCATTTTCTTACACATTTTTATCAAAATAAGCATGTGACTGCTGTGATTTCAGCAGGTTCACACAGGCACAAACACACCCACTTGGTTATGGAAATACAGGAGATCACTCCGTTCCTAATATTCTAGCAAGACAGTTACTGAACAGTAAGTCACTGCAACTCGAGCGAAAGAAAACCCCCAACCACTCGACAAATGAATTCTGCCCTACATCATTGCCATTCCTGGGTGCCTTGAACAGTGATGGTCACTGAGATTATTCGTGCACTGACATGTGGTCACGAAGGCCATCAAGGCTACCAGACCATCTCCAAGATCTTTTTCCATCTCTCTTACTGTTCAAGCAGGAAAATTCTCTCTTCTCACGCTAGAAATGTCTCCGTCTCCAGACTGAGGCACTGCAGTTGTTTCACCTCTAAGGCTTTAGGGAAAGGACAGCATAAGACATCAAAGTGATGGAAAGCTCAGAACTCATTGTGTGTATATTGCTTGGGGAAAGTCAGGGAATCAAAGTAGCAACCGAGTTGTGTTCGGCGAAGAACTCAAAATTGTCCCTACATTCTCAGAATAGGAGACTAGCATTTAATCTTCCACCCACAAAAAGTCAATTAGCCCAAGCTGGTTCACACTAACTACAGCAGGTGTATTTTATCCTACAGAACTGTACTTTGAATAGGTAGCTCTATTTTCTGGCCGATCTGTTTGGATCAAGTCATTTATTGCTGATTTACAGAGAGCTATTGTGAATTAACACCACCTACTCATTTGCCAGCATAGCTCTGACCACAGAACGATTCTCTAGAGAGTACCGGATCTTCGACACCGCAAACAATTCTGGCTACACTTCGACTATAGGTACACACGAAAAGAAACTCTCAACTACAGTAAAAAGCACCAGAGCTGGATCCTACAGTTACCTGCCCTTGGTGGAGGCAAAACGGCACGTATAATCTGCTCCATCAATTAATCGGCCAACACACACTTTATAGATGATCCACTGCAGCAAATACTTTCCATTACCTTAACCCTCTCCACTTCAAACCAGTTTCTCCAATTCTAAGTGTACTTCTCAGAAGTTAGTACTTTTTTTTGCGAGCCTCACCAAGTACGAGATATTTTTATGTCAATATAAAAGCTAGTTTCCCAACCATTAGGACTAGATCTTCAGTTAATCCTTCAAATCGCCTTAACTCTCTGCCAAATCCCACAATAAACACATACCTCATACAAAAAGCTCCAAAGCACAGTAAACAGCTTTAAGTTATATTCTCAAAAATAAAATTTTCCGCTTCAGAAATACAAAAAAAAAATATGCAGATGTTACAAACAATCCATTTATTATGTCTTCAACTACGTACACAATTGAAATAATAATTTTGGCACTACGCTATACAGTGGTTACATCTGTGCTGACACTCGTTAAATACTGCACCCGGAGCACTGCTGTGCTTTGAAGTTTGGAATGAGTCACACACTCAGCAAGTAGATCACTCAAAACGTATCAGTGCTCCTGGAGGGTTGCACGAAAGTTGAAACACACACCAGTTGATGAATTATTTCAATGTACCTCACATCCTAGGAACTTATCACACCAGAACATGTGATGTCAGCATTTGGAGATGGCCACAAGTGCTGCATTAAAATCCGAATGAGACATAGTAATAACGATACAAGAAAACCAAAACAAAACCTCTGCCTTTCAGACATGAAGAGAGATATTCCGTTAAAGAAAATAATTTAAAAAACTAATAATGGCATTTGATTTGATACAAAAGCCAGATCCACTACTGTATTAACATCTAAGTATGAATCTTTACAAATTAATCTCACAATGGTGTTATGTAAAAGGTTGCAAACTGTACAATGTTTTGTCAATGCAATGCCTCTACAATTTATACAGTCTTTTACAACTATGTAACACATATTAAACATGTTGTTAAATAGCCAATAGATACCAGTCTCTGAACAAAGCTACAGGCAAAAAAAAATACAGAGCTTCCACAACCTTCCAACAAGACAGGCTTGCTCAAACAGTGAACCTTTAGGAGAACATGCTGTTAAAAACAGTCAGCCACTCAGTGCCTTTTCACACTGCGCACGCGTTTCATTCTGTGAATTCAACCACTCGACGGTCCATCATTTCTTACCTGTGGGCTCTAATTACATGGAAACACCCATAGTCTTTCACCCTTAAAAATATGCAGATAATCATAGATTTTTATTCCACACGTGGCCAAGCTATCTGGGAAGACCTGGCCAGGCAGCAAGAGCTTTCGCTCCCCGAGTTGCGTCCTGCCACCATCTATACTGCACAAAGATCAGCTATTTACATTTCAACAAGGAAGATACAAAAAGGCCGTCGTGCCCTCAGGTGGACTGAATGATACAGAGCCCGGGCACCTGAAGGGCACTCAAATGCAAGCAGTGTCAAATAAAACTCTGAGAAAGATTCCTGGAATTGTATGGTGACCTGGGTGAGAAGTTGCATCACCAGAATGGGAGAGTTTCACTGAGAATATTCGGATTTGCAGCGCACTCTGGTTCTGCGTATCTCTGATGTCGGAAACAGCTGGGAAGAAGGGTCAGAAGAGGAGGATAAGAAACGTGCAGAGTAAGTCACTGGGTGCAAGGAAGCAGAAACAAGAGTGATGTGTAATGCAGGCCAATGACAGGGGTCTTGCAATAAACTCACGATCGATCGGGCTCTGTGAGTGCAGTTACAAGGAGACTGTGAGGCTCCCACAGCTGCTCCCTCGGGAGGTGAAATTCTTTTTGAATAGAACCAGGTCTTTTTGTCTGTATTTAAAAGTGGTTTTGATCAGGCATCAGGATTTCCAGCACAAAGTTTTCTACACAATAAATTTCTTTGAGTTTCCTTTATTTCGCAGAGAGGTTCCTACATCCATCTCCTTCCCAGGAGAAACCTAAAAAAAAAAAAAAAAGATGAAATAATTCAAAACAAGATTACTGCCTCATGCTGTTGATAAATTTATTTGAGTTTCCTTTATTTCGCAGAAAGGTTCCTACATCCATCTCCTTTCCAGAAGAAACCTGAAAAAAAAAAGGGGGGAAAGAATTCAAAACAAGATTACTGCCTCATGCTGTTACCACATAACAAAATGAAAATATAAATTAAAACTTCTCCTGGCATACTGTCACAAAACATCACAATACAATAGAGATCAGAATGTTGTAGTGTAACAACGAGAAACTCCAGGAATGGATTCACTCTTTGGGGACATGCCTGTTTGAAGGGACCTGGCAGCAAAGCCATAACACAGCAGAGGAAAGAGTCTGGTAGCAATCATGCCTCATGGTGAGATGTAGATGATATGCTGGACTGGGTGGTGGGCTAAAGTCCTCAGAGGCATCAGAAGTACAAAGCAGCAAGTAGCTGCCTTTAGTGAAACTGCCAGGCATTTAAAAGGCAGCCAACTGGCAGAAAACGGGAGAAAAGGAACATCAATATTCAAGAAAACAAGGTGTCTTAGCAAAACACTAGGGTAATACAAGGACACATAAAAAGATGGACAAGATTTAACCAAGATAAATCTCATCCTGAACAGGCCACGGGAGCTGCAAGGGACTTAATTCTCCCTGTGGTGTAGGGATTCCTCCCTATTCCATGCTAGACTAGAGAGCTAGACAAGATTTTGCAAGAGTGACGTTCCTGTCAATCATGTCAAAACTAAGAATCTTACCTATCTATGCATAGTAGCACGGTGAAACCAAGAGGTCAGTAAGCACGAGCAGCTGGTCATCCGTGAACTGCTGTTTATGCTCCTGCCAGTTGTCGTGATGGGTCCTCCGGAAATTTGACAGTGTTTTTTTCACAGTCATCTGCAGAGCAGACAATCAGTAGTGAGCTGTCAGTTATGGATTTAAGCTCCATGACAAAACAAACGCTGAACGTGACAAAACAGCTGCCAAGTAGTAGTAGTGTTTGAGCAGTTACAACAAGGGTTAGAAGGGCTCTGGAGAACTCAGCCCAGTTCCCCAGTATTTTCATTTTTACAGTTTTGGTTAAAGTCTTTTGACAAGTGTCACAACTCCAACGTTCTTACAAAAAGGATTCTTTGACCTACAATGTTGAGTTTGAAAAAAATTAACAGATTCTTATAAAGTTTAAGTGCAATGCTTTTCTCCTCTTCCTTTTCCTTGAGTACTTCAAACCAATGGTTTGGGTCTCAAACAATGAGAAATAGTGGATGAAACACATAGAAGAAACAAATCAGAGGAAAACTATCTTCTGTTGTTAAAATAATTAAGATTATTATCAAATTCAAAAAAAAAAAAAGTCCAATCAATTCAGTTCCTTGATTCAGTAAAGCACACCATAGCAAAATTTGTTAAATCTAAAGGAATCTGCAGCCATAAGCTCACTACTGTGGTTAACACAGCAAAAGATCAACAAAACTGAATAGACAGGGAAAAACAAACAAACAAAAAAGAGTTAAAGGTAACTGTTTTAGTTAAAAACTTGTTTCTGGGCTGCTTACAAAACCTTCATTTAAAAATTTGAGTGATTTTTTTGGTTCAGGTTGATATTTTCTAGAACAGCATGCACAAAAGTAACGTCTTCAATTTAAAGAGACCGTTTCCTCCTTATAGATACAGTTCTTGCAGCTTTCAGTTTATGCATTAAATTTGAAAGCAAGAACAGACCTACCACAAAAAAATACTTAAAAGCAGTCCATGACTTGTAATAAAAAGCAGCAGAAACCAAGTTTCTTAATAGCTTCCTAATTATTTCTAGGAAAGGGGAACTAAGAAGGAGCCAAGCATGTTTTAGATGTGTGATATGAAATAGAAAAATGACACAAGCACTCTTACCTCAATAGGCTGAGGGTCGTTAAGATGGGCACTGAGATCCATCAAGAGCTGTGGCATCCAGGTGGGCACATCATAGGGACTGGACAAAATGCAGGCGCTCAGCCCCAGCACACCGGCGTGGCGTTTGACCAGGTCTGCGATGGCAGGAGATGAATTCACATTTGGCAAGGAGCAACCATCTCGTCTGAGGCACTTCTCAGTGCCCCAGCCAAACTTAAAACTGGCTCTCAGTGAAAATAAGGCTACTTTTAACTGATGGAAACAACTGAAGAGAGCCAATATATTGAACAGAGCTGTTGAATTCGTAATTAGTGCTCACACTAATACTGAGTTCTGACCCTGAATTAAAATAATAACAAAAAAACCTCTGCCACAGCAGAGAGATCTCTAGCTTCTGCAGAAAACCAGACAGTTCTACAGACCCTCTAGGCAAATACACTCACACAAGTGAATTCTAGCTTGCATTTCTAACCAAGAACATGTAAGAAAAATAATCTGCAACTGCTGTATACTTTATAAGCATTTCCCATCAGCTTCCTTCTCTCCAAGGACCTTTCTTTCTTAGTAACTCATGAACTACACCTCCACTGTTCCCTCCTGCGCTCGGAATGCTTCCTCAAATACCAGAACTGCTTTACAACAGGGAAACTCAGTTCTGGGTAAAATGAATGTGACTCAGAGGCACTAAATACGTGGGCAGAAGCCAAAGCTCCTAACTAAGGTTAACTAAGGGGTTTTTTTGTTCTGTGTGGTTTGGTGGGTTGGTTTTTTTTGGTGTGCGTGTGTTGGGTTTTTATAAAATTAAAAACCACACTGCCGAAACCCAGAAAGTAAAGTGGCAAAGGAGTGAAATTACTTTGTGACAGCTAAAAAAATTTATTTACTGAGGAAATAGCCATCCCTTGTGACAGCTAAGGAAGTTTATTTACTGAGGAAATAGCTATCCCCTATCATCTGCATTCTCAACTATGTGAACTGCACACACTGTAAATAGAGAAATTTCTTTAGTGTTAATTCTGGAAAAGTATTAAATTAGCGTAACGTAGAAATACACCATAAAAAAATTACTTGTGGGGTTTTTTTTGGTAGTAGTGTATCCTTATTCATCATTTACACTGTAAATCAAATTCTTGAGGCACTTAACAAGGATTAGGACCTTCACTACATACCCACAAATAGACAATAAGATACATAAGGACAAGTAATTTGCCACTATAGTTTATGGATGCTTAGGAAAGAAAAAAATTTGCATGGGCAACAGGCCTTACTTATGTTAATTTTCTAAATACTGCTTAACCACAGGACAAATCCTATTCCATCTGCAGCACTTGCAGAACAAGCTGTTTAAGTGTAGCACAAAATATTTATGTCCTCCTAACCTGCTATTGACACACATGGTATTAGTCTCTGAGGCAATTTTCTTACCACCAGAAGGAATTGGATCCATCACCGAACCCAGGTCTCGCTTCCGCTTTTTCGGTAACCTCATCTTGCACAGCTGTTCAAAATGGGTCTGCATGGGTGCATCCATAGTGAGAAAATTGCACTGTAGCAGGCCACTTAGTGTGGTAGCAGCCATTTCTCTCACCTGTGAGCAGAGACAGTACATGCCACGATTACTAAACACACATGCACAGCAAGAAACAGGTATTTGTGCTAGTAGTAGTTTTAAGCACATCCAGCTGGGCCAAGTTATCAAACTTTGCCCAGGAAAAGCCTTTAAAATATTATCCTGTTATCTCATAGATCATAAACTACTACTAATTTACCATATGTGTCTCTGCAAATAAATAAACGTGGAACTACCTTCACATAATTTGTCATAAAGTAAACTACTACTCCGGCAAATGATGTTATTTAACTAATTGTCAAGACATATGTCAGACCAACTGGCTTTAGAAAGTTTAAAAAAAGACTTTGAACGAGAACAAGATGCGCCACCCCAAATATAACGAATCTGCTTTACAAAACTTGTAATAGTCTCTGTATTAACATTAGTTTTGCCAAGAAAAAAAAAATATACTTTTTTCAAAAGCGTTGAGTTTTCCCCCTCAAATGTACGTGGAGACATTAGAATCAACAAACGCAGAAGAGCTTTTCCAAGAGGAGGTAGAGGGTATGTTCATGAGACGAAGCTGATTCTGTTCTACCAGTAGCACAAGAGTTCTTTGGGAGATACAACAGATGCTCCATTAATAAGCATTCTGGAGCCCCCAACATAAAAAGGACATGGACCAGTTGGAGAGGGTCCAGAGGAGGGCCACGAAGATGATAAGAGGGCTGGAGCACCTTTCCTATGAGGACAGGCTGAAAGAGTTGGGGCTGTTCAGCCTGGAGAAGAGGAGGCTCCGGGGTGACCTTATAGCGGTCTTCCAGTACCTCAAGGGGGCCTACAGGAAAGATGGGGAGAGTGTTCAGGAGGGCCTGTTGTGATAGAACAAGGGGTAATGGTTTTAAAATAGAGAGAGGTAGATTCAGATTGGATATTAGGAAAAAATTTTTTAGCATGAGAGTTGTAGAACACTGGAACAGGTTGCCCAGAGAGGTGGTGGATGCTCCATCCCTGGAGACATTCAAGGCCAGGTTGGATGAGGCCCTGAGCAACCTGATCTAGTTGAAGATGGCCCTACTTATTGCAGGGGATTGGACTAGATGACCTTTAAAGGTCCCTTACCATTCTATGATTCTATGATTCTATAAGCAATGCCAACTAGCTGCAGTGGTTTATGGGCAACAATTCAGTTCTATCCTGCTCCAGCATTATTTCCTTTGTTGTCCTGAGTACCAGTTCTTTTCACTACATGAATAAAACCAGAATTCCAGGTTGGAAAACATTCTTCTCTTCAGTAACACAAACATAAAAGAACAAGACTGTTTTTATCTAGTTGCCAAATCATTCAAAATACAGAT